GTGTTTTCTTGGTTTTATTAAACGTCAAAGTTGCGCTATTTTTGACGTTTGTATTGCGTTTTTATAAATGACAGTACAATGGCTTGACTTTAGATGTTTATAATTATTGTATTTTAAAGAAATATAAAAAGAAATAATATGGAGGAGGACCACACAGGTATGTTCTCATTATATACCAAAAATCTTGGATTAAGTTTCTACTGTGAGAAAAATACAGGACATTATGCGAGTTGGTGTCATTTTGTTTTAAACATGTTTTAAATACTAAAATTCTAAAAGCATTTTCTTAATGATTTCAACATATTTCCAGCTGGTCATATTTGTTTTTGTATTCTACAATGTCTTCTTATATTATATGAGTTATAAAACGTTACCCCAAAATACCCCCCTCAAAAATAAATAGAATTTAAAAAAGGTTGTTTTACACCTTATTTGTTAACATTTTAAACCGAATTTTTTATTCTATTAATAAAATATCAGTCTGGAAATAAACAATTACTTAAACATATAGTTTATAAAGAATTTTTTATCTTTCTCTTTTTCTGTGTCTTGATATCTTGCTCTTTCCTTTTCCTAAGCCACTCTATGTCAAATTTTGAGTTAGTTTCTAGAATTTTTTTATTACTTTTAGACGAAGTCCCACCAGGGCCAGTACAACACGTGTTGTCGCTAAGCTACAAAGAATTATTTGAATTTTTAATAAGTTTTCCGGAAAAAAACCTAAATACCAAGTTTTGTCGAATTCAAACAAAAATATTGACCCTCACTGGTTACAGTAGCTTATCACCTGAAGCACGAACAATTTTAAATACATTTTACTACAAATTCAAAATTAAGTGGATTTCATCAAACAGAACAAAAAAAAAGATTTTTAGACCATAACAAATAATGGATAAAAACGAAAGTGGAATTTAAAAGAAATTGCATAACTGGTAAAGGTAGGAAATCACTTGATTTCGAAGCTTGTTCCGAGACAACAAAACGGTTAAAAACATCAAAATTGCGGGAAAGTTTTTCTACAAAAGAATTAGTTTATGCAGCCCAAATGGGATATCGAAAGGAACATGAATTAGAGGCATCTAATGTTCTTAAATCCATTTATACACAGCCATCAAAAGCAAAAGAGTATTCCAGTTCTCTTTTAAAACAAAAAAGCACGTGTGAAAAGCTGACATCAGATAAGGCAGTATCACTTATTATTGAGGGTAAATTTACTAAATTTCAATACAAACTATTGAAAAAGCAGGCAAATGATAATAATTGTTTTATGTATCCTTCTTATGATAAGGTACTTGAAGCAAAAAAAAGGTGTTATCCCGAAAATATTCATGTATCCGAAAGTGTAGCAGAAGTCCCAATTCAGTCATTACTAAATCATACAAGTCGGAGGCTTATAGATGTACAAATGGATGAACTTAAAACTATGGTTAATGAAAACAATATTTTAAACTTGACTTTAACTTGCAAATGGGGATTTGATGGGTCATCTGGCCAATCAGAATACAAGCAACGATTTCAAGATGTTTCATTGTCAGACTGCAGTATCTTTTTTACATCTTTAGTGCCCATAAGGCTTAATCTTAGTGCCAAATCTGACGTAATAATATGGCAAAACTGCAGAACATCGTCAACAAGATTTTGTCGGCCAATAAAAATTCAATTCGCTCGAGAGACAAAAGAACTAACATTAGCCGAAAAACAAAAAATGGATAAACAATTAAAAGAACTAGTTCCTTTTGAATTTATTTTACCTGAAGATAATATGCGTATTTGTATAACATTTAACTTATACCTGACAATGATAGACAGTAAGGTGGGAAATGCTCTGACGGAAAACAATTCTAAGCAAATATGTTTTGTTTGTGGCCTATCCCCAAAAGACTTCAATAATATTGATGCTATTCTTCATAGACCCGTTATTAATAGTGAATATTTAAAATACGGTTTGTCTACATTGCATGCTTGGATACGTTTTTTTGAGTGCTTGTTGCATTTAGCTTATAAAATCGATATTAAAAAGTGGCAGGCTCGAAGTGCCGAAGACAAGCAAATAGTTCAAGACTCAAAAAAACGTATTCAAGAACAATTGAATTTACGATTGGGACTAATAGTGGATAAGCCCAAACCAGGTTTTGGTTCCTCAAATGATGGAAACACGGCTCGCAAATTTTTTGAAAATACAAGCGTTGTTGCCGAAATTTGTCAAATTGACCAAAATCTTGTACAAAGATTTCATATCGTATTACAAACATTATCATCTGGATTTGAAATAGATATACCGAAATTTCAAGTTTACGCAATTGATACTGCAAGACTTTTTACTAAGTTGTACTCTTACCAACTTCTGTTCACAGGGTGTTAATGCACGGAGCGGAAACAATAGGTGCATTTAAAATTCCGATTGGGCAGTTATCTGAGGAAGCACAGGAGGCTAGAAATAAAGATATAAAAAATTATCGATCAAGCTTTTCAAGAAAAACCTCAAGAAAAGATAACTTACAAGATATGTTTAGTCGCCTCCTTGTTTCCTCCGACCCTGTAATTTCTAGTTTACGTAAAACACCCGCTAAAGCAAAAAAAAGTCTTTTATCTGAAGCTGTAGCTTTACTTAATTCTCCAAAAGTTGATGACAATTTTTTAAATTTACCTGAAGCAATAAGCTCTTCAGATAAAGATGATAATTAGAGATAATTTTTGTAAAAAAAATGTGTTCATATATGAACATATATTATACTGGGTGACACAAACCAGAGTTAGAAAAAAATCTTACTTTCAAATTCAAGTTATTTTTAATTGTTAAATTGTATAGTGACTATTCGTAATGTTTAATTAATTTTAACTTTACAACCATGTAGGTAAATAAATAGTTCCTAGATACATTTATTATATATCGACTTTTTTAACAATTAAAAATAACTTGAATTTGAAAGTAAGATTTTTTTCTAACTCTGGTTTGTGTCACCCAGTATAATATAGGGCACTCTCAAAATAAATTTAAAACATTTAAAAGGTTAGTTTAGGCAAATTATGAATACAAATTTAATTTTTACATACAATGGCTATGTAAATCAATTTATAGCACGTTTTTGACAAATTCGACCAGTGTGTGTCGGTAGGAAAAAAGTTCTATTGGATTAAATCGGTGAATTCACGAAATTTGACGCTTGCACTGGAGATTCATGGCAACGTCGCTGACGTCAGATAGGAACGCTCTCGCCCGGTGCTACATAGGTGTGAGTGAGAACAATTTGACAATTGTCATAGCGAAAAAGCAGTCATTAATAAAAATTATTAGTCAAATTCTACTGATTATTTCCCTCAATGAACCAATCAAAAGCCTTGAATTTTCGAATAAATTTCGTTTAAATAAGCGATTAAATGACTAGACCTTTTTAACAGCGATTAAATTTTAGCCTCCATATTAGATTTTTGTTTACGGTTTTATGGTGTTATTTACAAGTTTTAACAAACATTTTTTAAAAAACAATAAAAAATAAGTTATCTAGTTTACGAAATATCAATTATTACTTATTACATACCTTAAATTAATGGAATTTTCTTTAAAAAAATATTTATAAACTTTGACACATACGTCAGATTTTATGAATGGTCAAATAGTTTCCTTTAATTCGAGAAATAATCTAGACGTATATCACTCAACCTATAAATTTAATCTGTCAAACTATGCTCAGTAAGTTTTTTATTTGATTTTTCTTTTTGGAAAATAGTTTCATGCAAAATAATTAAAAATAAAACCCCTCGACCGCTACGCGGTCTCGTGATTTTATTAAATTATTTTGCATTCAACATTTTCCAACAAAAACCAAACAAAAAACTACTGAGCCTAGTTTACCCGATTAAATTCATAGTTCTCGTGATATAATATATGAATAAAATAGTCAAATTAGTAGATTTAAATTTAAAAAAAGTTCTGACCCAGCCGGGGTGTGAACTCGGGTCTTTCGCTTCTCAAGCGTATCAAAATCAAAATCAAAATCAAAATCAAAATCAAAATCAAAATCAAAATCAAAATCAAAATCAAAATCAAAATCAAAATCAATATATTTCTAAATTAAATAATTACAGATCATAAAAAAGGTAAATAGTAAAGGCCGCAATGTGGTGATGTGGTTGGCTGTAAAGCGTATGTCATAACCAAAGAGCCATCAGTCACATTTATAAAAATCAATTTTATTTGTCTAATAAATATTGCACATAATATTTTAAAGTTGATTATTTCCCTCATTATAATATGAACCAATCAAAAGCCTTGAATTTTCGAATAAATTTCGTTTAAATAAGCGATTAAATCACTAGAACTATTTAACAGCGATTAAATTTTAGCCTCCATATTGGATTTTTGTTTACGATTTTATGGTGTTATTTACAAGTTTTAACAAACATTTTTTAAAAAACAATAAAAAATAAGTTATCTAGTTTGCGAAATGTCAATTATATTATTAAATTATTTTGCATGAAACTATTTTCCAAAAAGAAAAATCAAATAAAAAACTTACTGAGCATAGTTTGCCAGATTAAATTTATAGGTTGAGTGATATACGTCTAGATTATTTCTCGAATTAAACATTTTCCAACAAAATCCAAACAAAAAACTACTGAGCCTAGTTTAACCGATTAAATTCATAGTTCTCGTGATATAATATGTGCATATAATATATGCATATGAATATATATTTTGTGTTGCTGTTTTGAGCTAAACTTTTTGCATCTTTGTTTGTTTTTATGGGTCATTTAACCATGGAGCCTATATGCATTTAACTCAAATAATAATTTGTTGTTGACCGCAAACGATTGAAGAAATTAGTTACCTTTAACTCTCAGAAAAGTCAAAGATGGTCCCTTATCTTAAATGAGTCAAACTTTAACTATTTAATTAGTAAAAAATAACTATGTAAAAGTGAAAACAACTATTTTATAATTAAAGAATGCTGGTACTAATTCAAATAGTAGAATTTTTACTATTTCATTTTAAGAGAGTACTAACCTGATAAAAATAGGTCTTGCAGTGCCTGTACTGCTTGGTATAGCAAGGCCCATGTCTCCGGTTCGACTAGACCGGAAGGTCTTGCTGTCAAAAGATCACCAAGGGTAGCTGTACCATCGTTAACAGAATTGTTAATATTCGTCCGAGACATACTGAAAAAAAAATTATAATAATATAATAAACTATTTACTAATTATCATAAAAATGTTGTTAATTAGGAGTTTACATGAATACATTAATAAGCAAAAACAGTTTAATTGTTTTCACAAAATATTTTTTATAGAGATCAATACACTTTTTTATACGTCTGAACCTATACAGGGTGTCTCACCAGCGATGGTACCTTAGACGTTTAAGGAGAACGGCTGAGGATATCAATTTAAAATTTTTATAGCAAGTATTGTACAATTTAATCTACCTTTTAAAATTATTTTAAATAAAATTCCTCCTCCGGTTTAACCGGAAGCGACATTAACTTTGTTATTTCCAATGGAACACCCTGTAAATTTTTTTATTTTTAATTCCCTCATGAAATTCTTAATGAAATTGCTGTACCATTCCCTATACCTAAACTTAATAGTTTTCGAGTTAATAATTTTTTTCGTAAAATTTTGACAGTTGCACCTTCATTAAAAATAGCTTATAACTTTTTTGATATTCGGTTTGCTGGTATGCTGTAAGGATTTTTGGAATCTTAAAACATTGTTTTAATACAAAATTACTTTATCCTCAGTGCTATAGTGTTAAATCATACTTGCTTACTTGGGGAAAATTACACTACAAATTAACTCTAATAATTATTGTAGTGTTATAAAACAACACTATTTAGTGTGGACCTGTGTGAACTCTAATTACTGTTGCTTAGAGTTGATTTTTTTTACCGTGCATAACGTTATATTAACCTTTAAAAATAATTATTTTTTTTAGACATATTTTGGTTTAGTTTAACTTGACATACATTTCCGATAGGTAAATAAAGTAGTTAAATTAAACACAAAAAAAAAACCAAATGGTTTAAGTAAACTTGCTGGTTAATTTATATTGGTTATATAACCAATAAGTAAAAACAAAAAGAAATGCAATTAATTTTAATATTAAATGAAATTAAATTAACCAACCAATAATAAAACAAAATATTATTTTAATTTTTAAGTATTTTGAAGGGTAAAATAAACCAAAAACTACCAAATATTAACTTTTTTTAACCAAAAGCTACATAACCAAGAAGTTAAATTTAACTAACAACTAACGTTAATTTTACCATGATTGAATTCCCCACTTATTACAAAATAACGTAAATTTAACGTTAATTTAACCAGTTGCGCTACTTGGGACGTCAATATCTTTAAATATATTTAAATTAAATGTATGATACAATTTCGACGATACAGTAAAACTTAATAAAAATAATGGGTATGAAAAACGCATTGTCTGTTTTAAATATGCCGAACAAAAGGCTACAAAGCGCGGATTTAGTAATTTTTTTTTAATACAATACAGAAAGGTTTCAAATGATATATTCATTAAAAATGGACAGATTATATATTAAGTCCTTATTGTCTGCCATTTTAAACAAACAATGTAGAAAATTTCTCTTGAAAATTATATTGAGCTAATTTGAATATCAATTAATGAATTAATTGTTATTCGTTAACTTTCAGTTGGCGCACAAATTGGAACTATGCTTTCGCAGAAACAATTTGCACTTTTGTGATTTTTGTGTCAGATTTTAATAATGTTGTTATACCATTTTACCCTAGAAAAAACAAGATTTTAAATTTTCAAAAATTGATTCCCTTTAAATTTTTGTTAGTGTCTAAAAAAAATCTTTACCATACCCAAGCAGAACTTTAGGTTGAAATAACTACTTGTTTGAGTTTTTTATATTTTGTGCTCAAAATAACCCCGTGGCATTTTCGCGATATTTATAAATACATAATTTCAAGTAGGAATTTTCAGAAGTATTCTCTTGATTTTAGATTACGAGCACACACTTACCAGTACACGAATTCAAATGGGATAAACATTTTACACACTTAACTAAAAAAAATCTACTAAAAAAAGTAATATTTTTAAATCTTCGTACTTTTGACCACTGCTTTACATTGTCAAATGAAAACGTTGGAAGCAATAATAAACCAGTGACCCAAGAATAATGAAAAAATGCAACATGTGCAACATCTTTCCAAGAAAATCATCTTGTTCATAAACACTTCATTTAAAGATTGCTATACAAACGTCACTTAATTGTATGACCTAACCATTGCAATCCCAAGCAGCATAAAATAGTCAACCTGTCATTAAAGTAAAAAATCTTTACAAGTAATAGGTATAATAATACATAATAATAATAGTAATATAATAAATTTAATTAGGATTTTTTTACTTCCTATATATAAACATCATGAAACTTGATTATGATGTTTATTTAACGTAATTTTTACGAAAAAAAAATACTTATAGGTTATTTTTAACGGTAAATTTAAACCAAATATTTTCACTCAAAATTAAATTTTACTAATATATAGGTAAGTCAAAAATAACGTATTAAACCATTCCCAATATTTGGTAATTTTTCGTAATTTTACCGTTTTCATTCACTGTAAAAATAACTTTTGAGTCAACTTATACAAATCTTGCTTCGTTTAAAGGATATTGGGAAAATAAGTCAAATATCACACCGCATTCACTTTTAAAATTATTATTATTATTATTATCTTTAGCTAAGCATGCAAACAAAAATAATTTAGATTTTTTTCGCATTATTGACCATTTATTTTAGAAATATAAATTGTTACTTTTAATAATCAATGCGTTTCAGGAAGTTAATATGAATTTTTTTACCTATAAAAAACAACAGTAAATTTGTTAAAATTTAACAGTGTCAATTGAATGTAATGGTTAAATTTAAAAAACGTCAAGCTAGCAAAACCACTGCTATCAAGAAAACTGGGCTTTGATAGCTATTGGTAAAGGTGGTTTATTTGTAAAATTCTTTGAAAAACTACAGGTGAACTTATTTTTAACGATTTTACAGATATAGGCCTATAGGGGAATATACTTATCAATACATGGTCCGATATAGGTGTCATTTCGTTGATTTTTTTCAATATATGGAAAAAAATATATCAATATATGAGCTGTGTATGTAAGCTCCAATGTTATTAAACTTATCTAAATGAGCATGTATACATGTTGTAGCATATGGACATTCAGAGATACCCTGCAACACATGGCCATTTAACGTTTTGGATAAAGGATAAAAACACAAACAAAATTTAAAATTATCCAATAGCTGCTATGAATAAATAAAGGTATACCTATACAGTGTGTATCATCCAAATGGAATAAATTTGATTATCATTTTTTATTATTCATTAATGGTTCCAATTGTTCTTTCTAAAACTTGTCCGCACTTGCCATATACAGGGTGAGACATTTAACTTGAAACTTTGAAATATCTCAGTTAGTATGCATTTTACGCCCTTATAGGGGGAACAGGGGGTAACTTTAAAATTTCCAATGGAACACCCTATTTTTTTATTGCAGATTCTAGTGATGCCGCCGATACGAGAGATTCTCGCCTCTCGTCTCGTCTCGTCTCGTCTCGACGAGACGAGAGGGCAATTTTCTCTCGAAAAACGGCTCGAGACGAGACGAGAGAATGCCCTCTCTCGCTCGAGAATTTCTCGTTTCTCTCGATCTCTCTCGTTCTCTCGATTATAAAAAAAAATTTTTTAAAAAAATTATAATTTTGCACATAAATGACGATATTTATTTGGACCAATGAGAACATTATTCGCATTTCATAATAAACAAAATTTGTTCCTGGTTAACGTTGTATTATTTTATAATAAAACTTAACGTTAACCAAGAAAAAATTACTTATAAAATAATAATTTTTAAAATTTACCCTGTATAAGCACATCTATGGCACTCCTTATACTATTAAAAAAACCCGTATGCTTAATAAGCATTGCTTATTCAATAAACTTATCAACAACATGTGGTTTTTGAGGGCCTGATTACAAATTTGATATCCATTTTTTTTAAATAAAATGGCTGATCCAATATGACGAAAATTCGTCGTTCGGCTTTAATGGTTTGGGTAAAATTTAGTATTCAGATATTTATGGGGTCCCTGATTCAGAATTTGATATCCATTAAAAAAAACAAAATTGCGGATTCAAAATGACGGACATGCGCAGTAGGAACAAGATGGTTGGATCTATGTGGAGTAGTTACATCATATATGTGCAGTAGTTTTCAGATGGATCAAATCATTTGATCTACTCCACATAGATCCAACCATCTTGTACCTAATGCGCATGTCCGTGAAAACTACTGCGCCGATGCAGGCTGTTTCTTTTAATTTAAGACAGCTCAATATCTCGAGAAATACGCATTTCACGGAAAAATGTTTTTAATAAAAGGTTAATGTGACCAAAGGGGACATTATTTGGTGCTACCGCTAGCCACCCCCTACCCCTCCTTAAGGGTGAAACGGGGGGTAACTGGAGAGTCAAATGGGATATCCCTTTTTTTTACAGATTTTGGTAGTACATAATAAAATTAATAACTTTTATTTAAAACATTTTTCAATTTATCAACAGATGGCGCTGTAATTCAAAATTTAAGAAAAATGGGTTTCCCTGTAAAATGTATTATTTGAAACGTTTGAAAAACAAAAATTAACATTAAATCAACAATAGTCGGCTCTGAAAACAATTTATAACAAATGTTCGAAATGTCGTCCTTCCATTTCGACACCAAGTGGAGCACCAGCGTCCCTGGTCGGTAAACGTTTGGTGCGGTACCTTTGGCGAACGGCATTAAATGGTGAAAATAACCGGAATTTTCTAGAAAACGATCTGCCAGACTTCTTCCTGTGGGGTTACTTGAAAGAAAAAGTTTACGCTACAATTTCTACAACTCGGGAGTTGTACCCGCATTCAAAAATGTGTCGAAATGAAAGGATGACATTTTGAACATTTGTTATAAATTGTTTTCAGAGCCGACTATTGTTGATTTAATGTTAATTTTTGTTTTTCAAACGTTTCAAATAATACATTTTACAAGGAAACCCAATTTTCTTAAATTTTGAATTACAGCGCCATCTGTTGATAAATTGAAAAAAAGTTTCAAATAAAAGTTATTAATTTTTTTATGTACTACCAAAATCTGTGAAAAAATCGGGACATTCCATTTGACTTCCTAAAGTTACCCCCCGTTTCACCCTTAAGGCGGGGTAGGGGGTGGCTAGCGGTAACCTTTTATTTAAGACATTTTTCTGTGAAATACGTATTTCACGAGATATTAAGCTGTCTCAAGTTAAAAGAAACACCTATTATAGGTGTCTAATACTAGATGTAACTACTCCACATAGATCCAACCATTTGATTCAAATGCGCAACATTTTCGGCGTAAAAAGTCTTACTTTATTAGTGTGGTCTTGGCAAACATTTTTTTTATTTCCAGTTTAAATTTCTATATAAAAAAATATAAACGAATTCGTATTTCATTCCAAATAATTTTTGTATTCATACTTAGGCACTTTTACCACGAGAGAAACGAGACGAGACGAGAGAAAGGCACTCTCGAGCGAGAAAAGACTTCAATGCATTTATTAATTCGCATTTAGTTTTAATATTCTGCTAACACTGCTCTGGGATATTCCCAAATTTCTAGATAATTATCGTGTGTTTGCATGAGGATTAGCGGCCGTTGCTGCTAATACATTAATTTCATTATTTCCACATGTGACTGTTGCTCGACGAACTCTTTTTTTCGGTTGAACACTCCAGTTTGTAGTAAACTGCTTTACTGTACGGTGAAATGAAGTACGTGATCGAATTTTATCCGGAAAACGCTGAGCGTAGATATTAACAGCATCATCAAAATTCCTGCCTGCTTCTCCATAAATCAAAATCATTTCTATTTTTTTTCCACTGTTAAAAAATTCATTATGAATAACTGCTTAACGAAAGGAGGTTTTTTTTTTGCGAATTAATCTTCGAACTAAATTGATTAAATAATGCTAAACTATAAATAGTTTCTTTATACCTACCTTAATTAGGATTAAATTAATGAATTGAAAAAATAATGTTTTTTTACCTTAAACGAGGTATTTTTATTAAAAATGGTACAATAATCCTTTCAATTAAAGGATTTAATGGTGGCAGGTAAAAAGTGACTGTGGTGCGCAATTGATAATTATCACGGAATGAAATAATGTATAAAACTTAAACCAAAGGAAACTTAAATATTAGTTAAAAAATCGTGGGTACTTCAGATTTAATTTAATAAGATAATAATTACAAAAAAAGTGATATTTTTATAGAAAAATTATCGCAGAATCGTATAGGTACAGAAGAATAATCGAAAAAATTATTTTTTTTTTCATTACAAGTATGAAAAAATGTTTTAGACAAAATCTACCTATTTTTAGTCGAATGATCCGAATCTGCAATAAAAAATAGGGTGTTCCATTGGAAATTTTAAAGTTACCCCCTGTTCCCCTATAAGGAGAAGAGTATGAGGACCAATTTTAGTACTGATTGATTTCCCCCGTCGAATCATTTAATTTTTATTTTAAATTTTTTTTCGTATTTCAAAGTTTCATATTGATTCACCCTGTATATAAAATATGTTTAGAATATATTGATTAGTGTAATTAGTCCGGTCAATCTAGACATTCGAAGGTACATAAATTTACAACAAGCTGAAAATCAGTAAAATTGTTCAGAATATAATTATTAATAAAATTTTAAAGTTCCCCATCATTCCCCTGTATGGAAAAATTTTTATCCAAGGTCAAAGGTCAAAAAAATTATTTTTCGCGATTTTCAGCAAAACGGTAAGTTTTATCATAAAAATACACCAGACAAAAATTGTAGATCATAAAATAATCTATAAAAAATGTATTAATACTTTTTTTCTACGAACCACCGTTTCTGAGATATAACGATTCGAAAAGTTGTAAAAGTTATAATCGCCATAATATGCACACGTTTCCACGCCACCTATG